CTATTCCCCTTTTCTCCCCTGAGTTTCGCTGTCCTTTTGGTTTGAGGAGCCCTAATTGGAACAGGCCGGCTCTGCTCCTGCTTCCTGCGTGGGAGTGAGAGGCTGTGCTTGTGAAAACAGTTCAAAAGTGCAGACAAATTTTTGCCTAATCCTGCCTAAATAAGTGGGGCTCAGTTGGGGTTATTTGCCCAGGAGATCCTGCCCCGATGCTGTGCGGGGCATCTGGGAAAGGCAAGTCTGCCCTAAGGGAAAGGGACCTGAAATGGGAGATGTGGGAGATGGTGCCTCTGCCTCATGCCTCATTGGGGAGCGTGGGAAGGGTCTCAGCTCCCGGCCCCCCTCTCTGCAGCCTCCTCCCTTCCTGAGAAAGATTTCTCAGCTGAACCCTGCCAGCTGGGAGACTTTGGGAATTGTCTTTCAGCCTCCCCATTGCTAGCCCTGCCCTGCTTTGCTCCTGGGGAAGGCTGGGGTGGAAGTCTGTGTGCCATGTGATGAGGTGATGGTGGGCTCCCTGTGGGGTGGAGCAGCTTGGTGGCACAAGGGAAAGCAGGAGAGCAAATGAGTCCTTGCCTCTCTTGCCAAATCTCTGAGAAACTCCTCTTGCTCCATCACAGGAAAATAGGGTTGTGGGGGCAGCACTGGGATGTCCCTGGAGTGGCAGAAGCTGGCACAGTGAGCGTGGTCCCAGGGGACACAGCCTCCTAGCTGTGACCTGGCTGAATTGTCCTCCAGCAGAGCCCTGCACAGGTGCTCATAGGAGCATCTCAGCCAGCTATGGCTCAAGGGCTGAGCTCTTCTGAGATATTTGGGCACAAATTCATGCAGCTGTTGGATGCATGGTCCCGGAGTGATTATTTTCTTGACTTGACTCCATGCCAACTTGCACCTTTTCCAGAACATATCCCATGCCTCCTTCAAGCAGCCAGTGTGTCCCACACCCTTGTGATGTCAGCACAGCATAGGACTAATCCCTGTCCCAGGAGGGCTTTCACCTTTGAGAATGGTGTGCTGGGTTCCTGACCTGGTGTGCATCCAGCAGGGCAGGGGCAGGAGGGGCTGTGGGGTCAGCTGGCCCTGCTCTGACCCGCTGGGCATCCATCTGCATGCAGGCTACTGTGTGAAACAGTGGGGACCAAACAAGGACACATTGAGGCTTTTGATGGGAAACAAAGTGAGTGGCTGAGGGGAGTTTAAAGGGGGCATTGACTCCAAGTGGAAATTAGGGAGAAAAATGACTTTGCTCCTGTCCTCCAGCTTTTTTTCTTGACTGCCATTTATTTTGCTTATGCAATCAGATGCTAATGTTTTGACATGCAGCAGAGTCACTTGCATTTTAAGGTCAAAATCCCTAAAGTTTGTAAATCGTAGTGCTTTAAAAAGATCAGATGCGTAGAAGTAGTTTATACATGTGGAGCCTGTGGAGAGCAGAACGCGAATTTGTCTGAGAGATGAACTTGGTGATGTTGGCCTCTCTGTGCGTTTCTCACAGTCTCTGTGTCTGTTTATCCAGCACCTACTTACTGCAGTGCCATCATAGAGTGATAAAGGTTGGTAAGGATGTTGGAGGGCCCCAGCCCACCTCGCCATGCCCACTTCACATCCCATTGCTCTGGGACACCAGGGATGGTGACTCCCACTGCCTGTGCAGCCATGCGATGCAGCACTGCTCTTTCAGAGAGGAAATTGTTCCTAATATCCAACCTGAACCTCCCCTGGCACAACTTCAGGGCACTATCTCCCATCACTAGTTACCTGGGATGGTGGCTTTGGTTGCATCCTCTTAAGCTTAAAAGCCACATAGGGATGTGATGCTGGCTGTTGGCTATGGCAGGATCATTGCCATCCTTACGTCCATCTGGTCCCCAGGGATCTAAAGGAGGAAAAACAAAGACTGGTTTTGGGAAGCCTTCAGGATCTCAAGCTGAGCCCCCAGATCTCTCTTTGCTTTGCAAAGCTGCAGCCTCTTGCATCAACATCCCTCTGCCTTCCTACCGTGTAAGGAAAATTGCTTATCTCTGCTCTACAGATGCTGGAGATGATGTGACATAATTTTCCAGAGCGCCTGCAACTCCTGTTAGCATTTAAAAACCAAAACATCGTACCCTGCCTGGTGTCCCAGGAGGAAAATCAAATGCCGCTCACTGTCAGTGCAGCGGCAGCAGCAGGAGATGTGGCATCTTGGCAGCACTCTGCACGTGCAAGCCGTGTCAATGAGGCTTTAATGGGTGTTGTAAAACCCATCCAGCAACCCCAGCCTGCAGTGCGAGTCCACGCTTGGTTTTTAGGTTTGAATAAGAAATTGCCCAACGAAGTTGGGGTACAGCAGCTGAGTTTGGTGCTGGGTTTGGTGCATTCCGAGCCCTCCTGTGTGCACGCGTGCATGCTTTCGCATGTGCTTTTGCGGGCAGCAGGAGGTACACAAAGGGGACGTTTTATTTGTGTAAGATTTGATTAAAATCTTGGAGAGGGGTTTCAGATGACAGTGAAAGTTGAAACCAGGGGAGTGAAGCCCCGCCTGCTTTTGTTACCCAAATGCTGCCCTGCTCTGACCTCTGCCCACCCAGAGCTGCAGGCGGTGTGTGCTGCCTATGGGGACAGAACCATGGCTGTGTCCTCCTGAAAGGTCCTGCAGAAAAGCACTGCCACGTCGGAGGGCAGGTAAATCGTGCTCCCAGGAATTAACAAAGAGAGTGACCTTTCAGTGCATGTAGCATCTCTCAAAGCCAGAACTGAAGTACAAACTGTCCCCCCTCCCATTCTACCCCAGATCACGCAGCCAGGACTCGTCCACAAACACGTATGCACAGCTTCACCAACCCATTTCATGCTGCACACGCGAGCTCTTCTATAGAGACGGGATGCTGCTGACTAAAATTAGGCTTTGCAGACGTTTGCAGGTGTGGGGCTTTGAGGCTGCCTTGTGTTTTGAAGAAGTTTTAAGCAGTAGCTATGGTTTAACAAAAGAAAAAGGTTTCGATTCTGAATTTTCCCAACGCATCTTGTTTTAAAGGAGAAACCTCAAGATGTGTGCTTTGGTTTGGCTTTGGTGCTCACCTTATGGAACTGTAACCCTATCCAGTGCTACTGAAAAACTGCTTCACTGGCTCTGTGCAAACCCAAATGCATGGACCCATCAGTGACAGATGCTCCTTTGCATGGCAGCAGGAAAAATTTAGCACTAGCAGAAGCCCGGCTTGTGGCTTGCCTAAGGAGGTCATCTGTGTGCAGGTTTTTGCGAGTGATTCAGTGCAAAATGGGGTTGGAAACGTTTTCTGAGCTTGCCTCTGACTCAGCTTCCCATGGCCGAGGAGCAGCGCTCTGCTGTTGAAGCGGCCGTGAGGGAGCAGATCCATGGGTGGTCCCCATAACCACAGAGCACAGCCAGCAGAGCATTAACGTGTAACATGAGGATGAAGGGAAAAGGGCACCAAACCACTTTCTCCCAGCATTATCTCAAAGCCAGCAGATGGAGAACAGAGATATGCAGGGTGCCTGCTCGATTTTCTGTGCCCTCCTCAGCTAAATCCAGTAAATAATGAAGTGTAATTTGCCAAATAGCCTTTGATTGTTATTATTTGCTTTTGAAGGTCCTGAGGGTTGCAGCGTGGCAGGCAGGCCTTGATTTCTACAGCAGGGCTGGGGGAGGAATGGGGCGCTGGGGCTGAGCAGGGCTACCTGGACAAAAGGAATGGGAGTTTGGAGCAGTGAGCTGGGAGCTGGGCACGTGGATGGCTTTGCACATCTGCTTAGGGGTGAGAGGCAGTGCAAAGATGAAGGCAGGAGAGCAGCTCTGGTCTGGGCTGCACTCAGGATGCTCTCAGCAATCCTTGAGAGAGGAGCACTTTGAGGATATGTGGAGCATTAAATCAGAGCTTAATGCAGAACGATAGTAAGCCAAGGTGCCTTTGCACAGCACAGAGAGCACTTTTGAGGGCTTTTGAGATTCACATCCGGCTGTGATGAAAACACCAAAAATTTGTGCTCATTGTCATTTTTCCACTGAGAACAGTTTTCATTGAAAAATTCCTGATAGGCTGCAGAGTGAGGCCAGCCTCCGGCAGAGGATTTACAACAAGACTGACAAAGTTCAGTTGTTGGAGATGGTGAATATTTGAGGCTTTCCTTCACCACAAATGATGGTTTTCAGGAATGCTTGAAGTATGTGAAAAAGAGCCAAAACCTTTATTCAGATTGAGGTTTTTTTTTTTTCAAACGATTGCTTTTGTTTATGGAACTGTTTGGCTACAAATTACCACCTCCTTCCAAATAAATTAGCGAAAGGGAAGAAAGGAAGGCAGACCTTTGCTTCTCATCAGGACTGGCTCCAAGGCCCTTGGCCTGGCCCCATGCATCCCATGGGGCGGCTGTGCATTGTTCGGTGACTCACGGAGCGCCTGGGCTTTGCATGATGTAACTCTGTGCTCATGTGGGATTTTCCAGCTCTTTGTTTTCTCTCCCATCCTTGAACGGCTTTTCTGCTGGTTCTCCATCCTGCCTCATCCTGCTGTGGCCCTCCTTTTTCTGGGATTGCTTGCAATTCTTCAAAATGACTTTTCCTATTGCTTTGGGCCAGGATGCCCGGCACTGAGGCAGGCATTCAGAGATGCTTTCCTTCATGCTTTCTTGTTCAGTCTTGTATGGGACTCATGACCCAGCTATCTCACAGGCTTCAGAAGCCAGGGGTGATGGTGATGCTGAGTGAGCTGTTGTCTGTGATGGTGTCTGATATCACCATCAAATTTCCAACAGCACATTCAGGGCTGGCTCACAGGGAGACCACACGCACCATGTAGCCAAGCTTGTCAGACATGGCTTGTGTGCTGGTCTGCTTGTGGACCTGCAGGTTTAGGTTTAGGGCTAGAGACTTGGAGTGTGAAAAATTTCAAAAGAAGCAAAGGAACAGTTTGCCTGTTTTCTGACAATTCAATACTGTACTGAAAGAACATAAGGACTGTTCTTTCCCAGTCCTTATGATTGTTCTTCTCTTCTGATGCTTTCAGATATGGAATGTGCAGATGTGCCTTTGTTAACTCCCAGCAGCAAGGAAATGATGTCTCAGGCACTGAAAGCCACCTTCAGTGGCTTCGCAAAGGAGCAGCAGCGGCTGGGAATCCCCAAAGGTAAGAGAAGGCAGCGCAGCTGTGGTGGGCACAGAGGACAAATCCCCCACCATGATGCCACAGCAACACGTGGTGCCCATCCTGTGGTACTGCCTTGTTTCTTGGCACTTAAAGCTGGAAGAATCCAGACACACAGGCAGAACCTTTCAGTACCACTTGCAGACTGCACCCACCGACAGATTGCGCCTGTCTGTCCTGCTAACAAAGTGAGATAACCTCCACTGCCAGACTGCTCTGCAGCTTTGTTGAGACTGCGAGACTTGTGTTTGCAAATCACATCCACTGTACAGGGAAGCAGCTGGGATGCTTTACAAGAGGCTGATAACGGGGGGAAAGCAACAAGATGAAGGAGTGTGTGGGAGAAGGGGTCAGAGAACTGCCAGGATTTTTATAAGTCTCAAAGCTCACTCCTGCTATGAAATATGTCTGCAAACATGGCTGATTCAAGCTTACTCTGCATACAGTATTCCCCCACCACGTATTGCCTTTTCACCAACAGATTGTCAGTCTCTAGAGAATGATGCTGTGCAGGTACTTATCCACTGGGACAGATGCAGATGTGTCCTGTTTTCCTGGGTAAAAGGCTTGTGGTTGCTCATTAACAGATCTCTTCTACGACCCCTTGTTAGTTGCTCACTGACGGATCTTTTCTGCAACCCCTTGGTGCAGATCCCCAGCAGTGGACAGAGACGCACGTGCGGGACTGGGTGATGTGGGCAGTGAATGAGTTCAGCCTGAAGGGAGTGGATTTCCAGAAGTTCTGCATGAACGGAGCTGCCCTCTGCGCCCTGGGCAAGGAGTGCTTCCTGGAGCTAGGGCCCGACTTTGTGGGAGAAATCCTTTGGGAACACCTGGAGATCTTGCAGAAAGGTGAGTCCTGGGGTCTCCAAGGGGGATAGTTTGTGTGCTCCTGGTTCCTCTGCTGATGGGCTTTTCCAACGAGTATGACGTCCTGCTTGGGCTGCAGTCCCAGTCAAAGCAGCTTTGAAAGCTCAGCTTTCCCGTAAGATTTCAAATGGGCATCGCAGCCAGTAGTGGGCAACGCAAATCCTGGTGCTTGTTGAAAGAGGAAGGGAACACCCTGTTCATGCAGGGACGCTCTGCCTGCCTGGAAATGGCGGTGGGATTTTCCAAAGCATTCTTCCTCAGTTCATTTAGCTCCCACTGTGAATTTTACTACTTCCTCCGGTGCAGCAAGGTACAACAACATCACCAAAATCCCACACTGATTTCCCAGTTGCAATTGGAAGCGGCTTTTGTTTCTTGTCTAATGAGTGTAATGGCGTTTAGTTAAGTGTGGTCGTATCCCACACAGGAGGGAATGGTGGAAATCATATCTGCCTGTCCCAGCATACACGCATTTAAAGGAATTAATTTTGGTTTATTTACAAGGAGTGGGGGGCTGTCACACGTTGATTTTGGATGTTAATTTTGATGGTGTGCAGCATTTTCCAGCTCAGATGGTTCCTGAAGAATGAAATCTTAAGATCCTTAATAGAAGATCTCCTGTAGCTCATTTCTGTGCAGAGCTACGTGCTCTCCTGGAACACCCCCAGTGCTGCTGGGCTGACCCTGCGTGCCTGTCCATAGGCCTGAGCTGGTGGCAGGAAGGGGAGGGGGAACAAAGTTATGCCTTCCAGGAAACCATTGACAAATGGATGTTAATTGCTGATTGCTAATTTTACTGCTACCTGTGGTTTGCAGAAGGTAAACATGGCTCTTCCCAGGGTCAGGGTATGACGGGCTGTTTTTCTGCTCTTTGTTTGACTCTGTATCTGTTCACTTCTTCTCGTTTTGCATGATTTTTAATGAGTGGTTATGTCAACAGCATGCAGTTTAACCAAACAAAGCAAAACGTTGTGGTCAATCCTATTTCTATTTGCTCTAAGCCATGGCTTGTAACACAGCTCAGCCTTCCTGCAACCCACTGGAGAGGGATGCAATGTGCTGCAGCTTCTGGCTGAGGAACTGGGCTGGGTCTGGTCCCAGCTCTGCTCTTCTTGCACGTTCCCTAAGGTACAGTGAGGAACTTGGTGCTGTATTGCTCGCTGTCAAGTAGGGTTCCAGTTTTCCTGCAGCACTGACAGATGGATGTTTGGATGCCATGGTCAGGAGGATACAAAAGGTGTGAGATAGATAACGGCTATTACAAAGAAGCTGGAAATCTGTTGTACCTACTGCAGATTTTCTTCCAAGAGGATGGAAAAAAATAAAACACAGTTTATTTGTCTCAACACCACTAACGTAGCTCTGGGAACCAAGAAATCCCCATTCTATGTTCAGCTTTGTTAGTGACTTCATCACTTCTTGCTTAAGTCGTCTGAGCCATAGCTTGGATGGTGGGTTCTTTACACATCTCCCAGAGGGGCAATATGTATGAAGTATTTGGAGAGTAACTGAGGAGAGCTTCCAAGAAATAACCAGCTTCACTCCAAGGATTAATTCCTCTTCCCTGGAAGTCATAAGACTCATCGTACTGGTCTCATATCTTCAGGCCCAGTCAAATCCAGGTTCTGTTGTGCTGGTGTTGTACAACATCTCTCCCTGTGTGAGATGAGATGTTTCTCTCTGCTTTGCAGCTGAAGATGTGAAGCATGAAGGTGAAGATCACCATTCCCATAGTTTCACCTATAGAGCCATACTATGGGTGAGCCCACAGGGTCCTCTCGCCAATCCCCATTTCTGGCACCCATCACCTGGTCACCTGCCATCATCACCCAGATCTGGTGATGCTGAGGGTGGTGGCTAACCCCGACGTGCCTGGCAGTACCTGTGGTGGTGTGACTGCTGGAGTGGGGTCGTGCTGGGACAGACTGTGACCCTGCTGTCCTCCTGCTAACACTCCTCCCCTTGTGAGCTCTTTCCGAGGGAGTGACTCACGGACCACAGCCTGCTCAGGGTTTAAAAATGGCAGCAGATGGGCGACTTTTCCCTGCATGGATTTGGGTATTTTCGGGCCTATTTTTCCAAATTTCTTCCTAAAATAGCTTCTTCAGTTACCAGCAGTCAGCAGTGCACTCTGCTTGACTGTAAGCATAGCTGAAGGTTGCTCTCTTTCCCTGTGGTCACCCTCCCTGCCCCTTGGCAGACTCCGTGGGGAGAAAAAGAGCATTTCTCATTAGGTCTCTCTGTTTGCACAAAACCTCCTTTTGTTGGAAGATATTTTCCACCCCTGCAATCCCCAGGAGAGAGGGCCAAAATTAGGCTCCTTGCAAACGAATGTGCATTATCTTCAGTTTGCTTCTTTATAGCCTCAGCAGAAATAAATATAACTCAGAGTTGTTAGTGCATTTTATTTTTGCTACCCTCTGCAAAGAAGAAAAAAATCTCCCATGCTGCTATCGCTGCCCGCGTGCCATACTGGAAAGAGTAAGGTGTTATTGGAAAAACTGGTCAGGAGGAGCAGTGTGGCTTTTAGGTGGGAAAGCAAAGTCAGTGCTGAGGCTGGGAGCAGGAAAGTGCTCAGAAAGAGCAGTGGAAAATGGGCAGTCTGCTTTGATGTGATGCTTGCTTGTTCCCAGTGAACCACGCCTATAGAAAGGTCAACATTTGTGGTGCTGCCCATACGTAGTCTGAGCAGTGTGTATTAGAGCTGGTTAAAGGAGAGGATGGCGAAGCTTTGAGTTGGGATCCTCTGCCTTCATAAGGTGAAAGGTGCTGTGTACACGGGAAGGTAGCATTAATTTAATGTCGTAGGGGCTGGTTTTGGTCTGCATTACCCACTGACTTCCATCTACCTGGCCTAAAAATAGAGAGTTTTCCAGGACAACAGCTGTCCTTGAACGGTGGTCTTTTTCATAAAACCATACATGTAACCACGTGAAGCAATTTTGTAAAGAAAGAAACTGATGAAATAAAGGATGCAAGGAAATTATGTAACAAGCATTGTAGAACCACCTGGAGCCGTGGATAGAGAGAACTGTTAGTTTGTTTTGTTTAAATTTGTGCGTCTGCAGCAACAGTTCCCAAAGGAGCCTGAATGTATCAAGCATGTGTTTCAGTGATATATCAGCCCTTAACTGCACGTTTCCTTTGAACGGCCCAATTTAACCCAGGCAGGAGACCTTCAGGACGCTTAGACCTCTGAGTGTTACAGCATGCTTTGCAAAGCATGGTACATCTATGGGCATGTGACAGCTGCTTCCTTTTCTCTTTGCAGAAGAGGCAAAACCGTACCCAGCAAATGGAGTGAATGCAGCGTATCCAGAATCCCGCTATACTTCAGACTACTTCATTAGTAAGTCCCAGTTATTGTTATCATTACTGTGCTTCCAGGCATAGAAGGGCCACCTCCTACAGGTGTCTCTGCATCATACGAGGATTGCTTGCTTTGCTTTCTGAGCCTCTCATCCTGCCGCCAGGTTATGGCATTGAGCACGCACAGTGCGTGCCTCCCTCCGAGTTCTCCGAGCCCAGCTTCATCACAGAGTCCTACCAGACCCTCCATCCCATCAGCTCGGAAGAGCTTCTGTCCCTCAAGTACGAGAACGACTATCCCTCAGTCATCCTGCGTGACCCCGTCCAGACGGACTCCCTGCAGACAGATTACTTCACGATCAAACAGGAGGTGGTGACGCCGGACAACATGTGCATGGGACGTGCCAGTCGAGGTATGGTTGGGCATCTCTCATGGATTGCTTGAGTTCTTGCTGTCTCTGCTTACATGAACATGAGTGCTGCCTTCCCTTCTGCAGGAGATGGTCCTTCATGAGGACCAAAGCCAACAGGGAGCCGTGCGATACCAGTAATGAAGCTGTTTCCCAACGTGTGTCATTTCTGAGGTTGAACTCCCCTAGAGTTTCTCTGAAGGCTTTGAACCTTTCCTGCCTTTCTTTCTGGGGAAAACAAGAAGGTCTTTCTCGTCTTCACTCTGCTGCTTGTTTTTGCATCTGCAAAAATGTGGCATTTCTTGCCCTGCACTTTGATGTCAAACTTGAGTGAAGCTGAAATATGCTTTTTGGTTATTAGGGAGGACAGACTGCTCTGTGGTTGTAGAAATCTCACTTTCCTAGAAAATCAGGCAAAAAAAAACCAATCCACAAATCCTTCACAAGTTCTCATTAGGAATTACTGTCTACAGCTCTGGAAGTTTTTACACTCGATGATCCAAACTCTTTGCCATTACCTCCATTGATTTTGATGGCTATTTGCTTGAACTCGTGATCTGTCCCATTGAAGCCAACCCTTTTCTATCATTCCTTCATCTGTGTCTTTCACTCTTCTTGGACTTTTCCTTAACTCAGGTGATTTTCTACGAATTCTCATTGAAATGCAATGACTTGGGGATGCTTTTGCAATTGTATTTTGAGTGTGTACTTACAAAAAGCCTAAAAAGGCTCCAGGGAGTGAAGAAGGAGCCCTTCACCCAGCACTGGGGTCCAAAGGCCCTGGCATTAGCTAATGCTACTGATTGCTGTCGAAGAAGTGCAGCACATCGTGGGTATGCTCACACTGGCACTACATATAAGCAATGTAGAATGGCCTTCGGGTGGCATAAATCCTCCCAGAGTGCTATAAGGAAGCTTTAACGTAAACCAGAGTCCAGCTTATTTATATTTACAGACATTTCCACCTCCCACTCTATTATAAGGTTAATCATTCGTGAAGTCAAGCACTTAAGGAAGAGAGACATTAGGGTGAAGATTTTCCAGACAGTCGCACTTTGCCTTGCTTTGTGTGGGCATTAGAAGTTAATTTTGTGGTTCCAAGAGAGGTTTTTCTGTCTGCCTTATCAGTGAAGGTGTCTGGTTGGAAAACAGAGCTGTCAAACTCCATCAAACTCCTTAACAAATTTCTCCTGAGAAGGTGCAAGGCATGGTTTGCAAAGGCTCACAGCTAGGTCAAATTTGGGTGAATTTTCAATGAAATGACAGAAGTCATGGCTCTAATGCTGAAGCTGTTCATCTGGCAGATTGCTAATTCTTTATCTAGAAGAGCTTGTGCCCTGGTATTTCCCAGAGAAATGGTTATACCAATGAAGGAACTTGCACAGAACTGTGATATTTTCCACTCCCAGGGTTCAGGAATTGGTTGAAGAGCATTTTGTAAGTTCTCAAAAAACAAAAAAGAAAACAACAAAAAAAAAGAATTTGAAGTGTGGATATCGCCAGGAGAATCATTTTGTAACTTGGACTCTCTAGCAGTAACTAACAAGGTATCCAAGGGGGAATGATGGATGTCAGGCTGCACTGAGTCTCATGAAGTCATGTGAAGGAGAAGCTGGGTCTAAACTGGAAATCCCAGCATGTAAGACCAGCTCATTTGCTTGAAGATGGAGCATCTCTGTGGGATGAAGAGGGAGATGCCTGTTGCTGAGGCCAGCAGTCAGGGCAGAGCTGCCTTTTTGGCATATCTCCACACCCACGGTAGTTGTGTCTTTTTGCAGCAAGTGCTCTTCGAACTACAACACAACAACGATCTGCCAGCGTCCTTCCACGATCCCGTTCCCCTGTGATTTACTATCTGGGCCCAAGCTGCGGGTAGCTCTGCCAATGGAAATTTCTCCAGGAGTTCTTGCACAATCCCAGCAGCTGTTTTTAGCCCGGTTTGGGAAGTTAGTGAACTTGAATGATCCTGTTATGCTCTCAGTTTGTCAGTAAAGATGTTGAGCAATCGGCAGCGTGAGGGAGATCAGAGAGAGCAATTTCAGTTTGTTCTTTGTATCCTTTTTTAGCTCACTGCTTTAAGTACACAGGGTATACTTGTGCCGTTCCTAGTGGGTGTAAATCAGCACGGTGCTGCTGAGGATCTGGCCTCTCAAGTTCTGGTCTTTACTAAAAATACCCTGGAGAGTAGTCTTGATACAACCCAGCTGTGCTCACCTTACCAGAACTGGAAAAATAGCTGTTTGAGCTCTCAGACTTTTGCTCCCTTCCTCCATCAAATCGCTGCTGTTTAGGGATTTGGGGGTGGAAGTCGACTGTAACATAACATGCAATAAAAGGCTGCTGTAGAGTTTTGTAGGAAACATGAAAAGCAAAGAAGCCGGGTGTCCAGTGCCCTTAATAAGCCTGAGCAGTGCTTACATAGGACTGGCAGTTATAATATGGCAATCACTGCAGACCCGTATCTTTCTGCAGCAAGAAGCCTTGGAGGGCCCATGTTTAGGCCCTGAATATCTGTCTAAAGTGGATTATTTCTCTGCCGTTGCCTTTTGGAAACAGAGGACAGTTTTCAGTAGGCCCCAGGCACCTGTCTTTGGTAGAGAGTCAAGGCTCTGGGTTTTTTTCCCTAATTCTGCCTGCCTTGCTCTGCTGCCTGATTTCTAGGGCTCAGAGAGCCCTGCTCTTGAATTACAAAGGTAACAAAGATATCCTTGTTTCAGGGCTTGGATTTGAGTTGCATGGTGAGACACAGCCCGATAGCAATGTCTGGCTGCCTTGTTGCAGGCAAGCAAAGCATCCTTCTCATGACCACATTGACTGAGAGCATCCCTGTGTCGGCCAGGCACCTCTCACATTGCCTTCCTTCTCACCAGGTAAACTGGGTGGCCAGGACTCCTTTGAGAGCATAGAGAGCTACGACAGCTGCGACCGCCTGACGCAGTCCTGGAGCAGCCAGTCCTCCTTCCAGAGCCTGCAGCGCGTCCCCTCCTACGATAGCTTTGACTCGGAGGACTACCCCACCGCCCTGCCCAACCACAAGCCCAAGGGCACCTTCAAGGACTATGTTCGAGATCGGGCTGACATGAACAAGGACAAGCCTGTCATTCCTGCCGCTGCCCTCGCCGGCTACACAGGTAGGGTTGCAGTCCCTGGAAAGCAGCTCTGTGCTCTGCACTTCATGGAGAGCCTCTGCGTCAGGAGAGGCAGAGCCTCCAGGGTCTCTGGGTTGCTCTGAGTGAGGGTTTAGGGGGTCAGCCCAAGGCTTTGGGCGCAGGTACTCCGACCCTCATGTAGGATCTGAGCACTGGGCACTTGTGTGTTGTTTAAGCTGGATGCCTCCTTGTTGACTTTGGTAGGAGCTGGAGTCTGGTGAGCTTTGTTGAGAACTCAAAGAGAGCCCTGGTTTCCCCACTGCCACTTTCATGCAGTGCACTGGCCTCTTGCTTGTGGTTTCCCACTTCAGGCAGGACTGGCTGTGTTTCAGCATTGCTATGCATGATGCAGAATGATCTTATCCCCTTGCAGCAGGGAGGAAGGAACTTTGTTTTGCTTTTTGTGCTGGTGCGAGACAGGGATGGGATACTGCCAAAGTAGATCCAAGCATTTTCCATTCCCTGCAATGAGAGAGATGAGAAGGTGATAGACCATGGGAACTTTGTGTTTTTACATGATAGTCCCCCCTGCAATCTGGCCACCTCCTTTCTTCATGGAGAGAAACATGGGATCAGGCTTCAAGCCAATGTCGAGGTAATCCTTTCCAGTCATTCTGTGCTATGTCATTTCCCTGTAAGACAGGTAACGTTTGCAGGGCAGCCTTCTGCCTGCTCCTTCCCTGGTTCACACTGATCCCTCCTTCTCAGCTGGTAGCAGCTGTGGCCCAGAGGAGCCAAGCAGTGGAAATAGCTGTGCAGATAAAAATCATCAAAAGGTTCAGAGCAGATCCTGACATGTCACTGTCCCTGAAATCTCCTCCCACACACAGCTCATCTTCAGGCTGAGACTGAGTTTTTGTTGGGGGTAAATGCAGAGGGGAGAAGAGGTGGAGAGATAATTTTAGGATGTGTAAAAAAGGAAGTGGTTTGTTGCTACAGCTTTAGTTAGAAAGAAAGCTCAACTCGGCCTTGCTGAATGAGCCTGTTTTGAGCAGGTCTATGCAAAATAAAAGTGTGCTCTGCCATTCCTGAATGGCTTTTGCTGGGGGCTGTGGTGGGGAGAGGCGTGAGTGGTAGGAGGGGCTCTGCCCCAGCCACAGAAGTTGGAGTTCCTAAGAGAAGAGCCCAGGAGTGCTACTTGCACTTCTTTTTCCTCTTTTCCTCTGATAACTCCTTTCACTGGGGCTGTGGAAGCGTGCAGGGCACCCATCACCTGGGAAGGAGCTCGGCTGCTGGGGTGGGAAGTTTCCCTCCATGTTTGCTATTGCTCATGGAAGCGGAGAGGCTGCACTCCCAGCTCCCTCTGCAGCGAGGAACCAAAGCTGGGGCTGGACCCGGTGCTTGGCCAAGGAGCTTAGCACCCCAAAGTGTGTCCTTGGGCTTTTGCCACAGGGAAAGCGAGGCTTTGGTTTGTGCAGTGCCAGAGCACACTTCCAAATGCTTTTCTCTGCATAACTTTTTCCCTTGCTTCGTTTCAAAGCCTGCTTTGAGCTGGGAAGATAATCCCCTGGCCCACGCACTCTGACATGATCAATAAGTTTTTTCATTGCTTTACTTGAAAAACTTTAAACAGAGGAAAATTAGAGGTTTCCAGGAACACCAATCACTTGGAAATCCTTCGGTCAGAGCACTGCTTTCTCCAGAGGCTGCTGAGTAGTTATTCAGAGCTGAAACTGCCCCTGCCTGCATTTACCATGGGGAAGGATCTTTGGACTGACAAGCTTTACAAATGTGTGACTCTAGGAATGTCCTCCATCCCTTTTTAATGTCTACTGACCTGTCAGCACCTCATATTTCCTGTGGAGAGGGAGCCTAGCATGGGTGCAAGGCGAAGCCAGGTTGTTCTGAAAGCAGGTCACAGTGAGAGCGAGTGAGAACATGTTGTATGACGAATTGTAGGAGAACTTGGCCCTCTCAAAACTGTTCTGCAGTAGTTTATTTCTGGGAAGAAATGAAAAAAGTAAGGCTGGCCATGGAGAAGTGAGGACCTCTCATTGGCCAGCTGAGAAGGGACGGTGAGGACTCTCAGACAGAAGTCCTGGCTTCTTGTTTTTGCTTTGCTTTACTTTTACTTTACTCAGGGGAGGAAGTGCTATCTGGTGGTTAGAGCTGAGGAACTCGAAGCCTGAGCTCTCTACAGCTCTGCTGAGGAGGTGGAGCCTCCAAAAGAGCAGAGCAGGGGACTGCCAGCCCATGGCCCCACAGCTTTCCATCTCTCACCCAGAGCATTCCTGGAGCACGCGCCCAACACTGGCACCCCATCACCAGCCAGTGCAGCACCCAGCAGACGTGCCAAGGTGGGTGTGGAATACCACATCCATCACCTCGGGGGCTCGCTGGGTTTGTGTTAGGAACCTGCCCGTATTACTTGGCTCTGTCAGCATGGACCTGTTTTGCTGGTGGCCCTGGGAGGTGGCACAGCCTTATCACAGCTGTGGCAATCTCTGATGATATCTGCCCCGGGAGGCGCGTGCTGCGCTGAGGAGGTGCATTTTGACGGAAGCGCCATTTGTGTTTGATGTGTTCCTCACACAGCTCGCAAGCAGCTTTTCAGAGCTGCTTTATCTGCCCCCACATCTTGACCTAATTTAACAAGTTGCCATGGTTGCTCAGATAGAAATTGATGCAATTTTCTTATCTTTTTTTTTTTGAAGGAGAAATGTAACTGCTCCGGAGTTAGTAAACTACAGTTTCCATAGCTGCAGGGAAGGATGTCCACGGACACCTTTTTGGGGGCAAGCTCTCTGGAGTTTGGCCAAGTCGAGCCTTACTATAAGCCAGGTTTTATTCCTTTTTGAAATGACCTAGGAAATGAAGACAGAATGCAAACCTTAAAATTGGACAAGCGTCAGGATGTGTCTGCTCTGCAGGCAGGTGTGAGATCTCACATTGAGTTATCTGAGTGAGCACTGAGCTCCTCAGCACAGCGTTTGGTGCGGGTGAGTGCCTCATTCTGGCTGCATGAGCCCTCATCCTGAACTCAGCTGTGCCAAATGGAGCTCTATGCCACCCGCAGGGCTGCATTGCTGGATCCCATGAGCTGCAAGCCTCTGTGGGTACCACAGCAACCTGCATCCTTCCTGAGAGCAAACACTGTGTGAATGAGTACCACTGGGCTGTAGCAGAGCAGCGTGCTGCCCATGCTGTGGGCCTGACCACACTGATCTTCAGCCTTTTTGCTCTATATTTATTTTCCACTGCTCTGACCTACTTCTGGCCTTCATCTTCCAGCCTGCTGACCTCCCACTCATGCAGGTCCAGCAAAGATTCAGTCCCTGTGCTGCTCCAGACTGAATTGCTTTTGGCTTTTCTTGAGCACCCCAAAGCACCTGCATGAGTTCATAACCAAGCTGTGGTGTTTGCTTTGTGGCACAAAGGACCTCAGCACCATCTGAGTGAGCTGGGGCTTTCCGTCTCAAAGCGTTGCCTGCAGCACTGAGCTGTGATGCACTGAGCCTCTGATCCTGAGAGCTGAAGCAGCAGAGCACAGCGATTCCCCGTGGGCCTGGTGGGGGGAGGGAGGAGAAATGGATGAGCAGGGTGAGATGACTGCAAAGCACACCTTGATGCCTTGACTGCAAGGCCTGGATTGCCTTTGTAAGTTGTCCTTTCTTATGGGGCAAGTTAGGAAGTTTCTGAACTCTTCACAGGCAATCTCAGCACTGAAGGAGTTAATGTCCTTACCCCAGCTAGTATCACACACACCCTGACTGTCTCTGACTGTCTCTCTTAGCGACAGATTGATGCTATCTTCATTATCGCTCTGCCCTTAGAGAAGACAGAAGCAGTGCAGGGATGAGATGCTATCTCCTGAGCACCCAGCACAGCTTCTGTACAGCTAACGGTTGTGCCCTGGATCCAGCTCTGAGGGTTGCTATCAGCATTCATGGCACTGTATTGATATTGGCTCAAATGTGCCCCGTGAACCCATCCACTCCATCCAGACCATCTGTGGTGCAGATGAAGCCGTGCCTTCGACAGCCTCCGTTTCTGCGTGATGCTTATCAGTGAGACAGAAGTGAAAGCACGCAGCTGCTGTTTTGCAAGAAAGTCGATGCCAAAGAAAGTGGGTGTCTTTCAAGAGAGTTTGTGTGCTGCTTCTTCCCCTCCTCTTACTGTGCTGCTGGCCTTCAGCTTCCAGCCTGTGATCTCCCAGATTTGGGCATGCAAAACACACCAGCATTACCCTGCCATGCTCCAGACATGTGGTTGTCTGTCCTTGGCATCCAGATCCTGTGCAGTTGCTTTTCTAGAAACATCAGCATCTTTCCTCCCTGCATCCTACCTGTGTGAGCGTTTGTAGCTGCTGGTATCTTGGTTTAGGGGCATTTGGAGATGTAGCATGAGATGCAGGAGATGGTGCTCATTCACTAACTTTGAGTCCCGTGCTTTGCCTGCCCTTGTGGGGTGACTTGGTGTCACCAGCAGCATCTCCTACTGCAGCATCATGTTGCAGGGTGGGGAGCTGCAGGGTGGGTTGTGGGGCTGCTTCAGTGCTCCTGCCCCACCTGCCAGACGTGTGCAAATGACAGTGAAATCAGCCCCACGCTACGCTGCCCGAGCGTGACAGCAGCTCTGCTCTGCCCAGCAGCCTGGAGGGGATGGCAGAACAGCAGCAGAGGGGCTGATCTGCAAGCAGCACAAAAAGCACGTGGCAAGAAGTATCTTTCTGGGTCTTTCCCCGCTCTGATCACTTTTTGGAGATGTTTCCATCTGTACTTCAGTGTCCTGCTGCCTGCACAAATCAAGCCCTTGGTGATGGTGTGGCTGCACCAGGCTGGGTAAGGGATGTGGGGAGGCAAGGCATGCAGTGATGGTTCCACAATCCCAACACAGCAGTGGGATTCTTGGACTCCAGTGCCTGCAATGCCACTGATGGGGTTTGTGTAGGGTGGGTACGTCACCAAAGCGAGGGCTGTTTTGGAGATGTTGCTATGTCCAATTGTTTTGTTTGGTGTGAACCACAAACCACAGAGTGAACAGCATAGGTGCCTTTTTTTTTTTTTTCTTTCTTTCTTTTTTTAAGCTTTTTTTTTTGTTTTATTTTTCTTCTTTCGAACAGAGGCCGTTGAGAGGGGTGAGGGTGTGAAACAAGCTTGAGAGACAGTGGGAGTGACGCACTGAGGGCTGGGCACTGTGCCTGCACAGGCAGTGGGGTACTGCTGGCATCACCACACTGGTGGCAGTGCCCACTGGGGTGTGCTGAAGCAGAAAACCTGAATGAATGTTGGAGACTGGGCATTTTGGTATAAAACCATATCTGGAACCACAGGGTGGGAAGTCAGCAGGGGATCTCCAGTCCTACCCAAAGCACATGGAGCAGGAATAGGGATCTCCAGCCCTATCCCAGGCAGGACGGTGTAAGGATGGTGTGACACCAAACCCAGTGCCCTGGTGTGACACTACTCAGCCAGAATAGAGGCCTGCTGTCATCTGGCACAAGAAGCATATTTTCCCCCTGACGTTGGAGAATTCCTGTGCAGTGACAGGCCCCAGCAGCCCAACTGAAGGACCCTCTTCAGTAGTACCGAGGCAAGACAGGGTCCCCATTGTGGCCCTATGGGCAGCCAGCCCCTCAGGCGGGTTCTATTCTGCACAGCTCCTGTGGGGACAATGGGGCTGGGTGCTTTGGTGTGGGAAATCCCTGGGAGCATGCAGAGGGACCAGCACCGTAAAAGGGGGCTTGTGTCCTTGCACCTCATGCTTGGGGCTGCAGGGGTTCTCCAGTGGTGCAGAGTGATCTGGACCAGATGTCTCAGTGGGTATTTCCTGCAGTGGATGGGGATGAGAGGAAGGCAACGAGGGGCAGGGCTCAGAGACAAGCCCAGCAGCGTCACACCCCAGTAGTGCTGGGGATGTGTTGCAGGTGGGTGGACATCTCTGTACAAGTTGAGTGTCACAGAGAAACCTTTTAGCTCCTTGCTTTGCATGAAAAGTGTGCAAAAGGAATTAATTTCAGCTCTGATTACAGCTGTTTCTTCCAAGTAGACCATACACAGTCCTCCCCAGCACCTGTGCCCTGGTGTTCTCTCTTCCCCTTACTCCTGTGGTCTCCCCATGCTGTTTGGGCCCTACTGGCTTGCACACGTGCTGGCTTTGATTCCTGCCATGTGCAGTGCCTGCCTTGCTTCACCATCGTGCCCCATCTGCAGGGCCTCTGCTGCTTCCCCTCCGGCAGGGTGTGTTTATAGGAGCTGAGACATGCCTGCGAGCTGTGTGGTAAACACATTCTTGACATAATTGCTTGTCCAACAACAGAGGAATTTGGGGTTTTACGCGAGTCCTGCGGGCAGCTAGGAATAGACCTTGGGAATCCCTTTTGTAAGGCACAAGTCGCCGGATGACACCGCTTTCTTCAAAATCCCAAAATAACCATTTGAGCAGCTCCTAGTGCTGCAGGAAGGAGCCTACCTCGTTTGCTGCAAGTGGGTGATAAACTGCTGGGTTTTCCAGCACCACCCTGTGCCAGCTGGCAGCTGAGTGGCAAGCATGGAACGTGAGCTGTGCTGGCCCCTGGCTCAGGAATGGTGACACTTCTTGCATCATGTCCCCAATGCCTTGAAAGTCACACACGGGTAGTTAGAAGGCAGCCACCTAGAACCTAGTATCCAAACAATAGCTTTCCATGTGTTTTATTCTGGGGAAGGAGTAAAAAGTTCTTCTTTGTCTAGGCAGCGTGGTGAATCTGGCTGTGCTGCAATCTTGTGTCCCAGCACTGTTGGTCTGCTTTGGGCACCAGTTGCTCTCCTATGTGTGTAAAGCATTGGTATAAAGTCAGATGGGACTAGAGAATTGGTCCCTTCCTGTACTCACTTGTCCTGCTCCGTGCAGCCTGGAGCACCCATTTGCACAATGATTCCCCTGTGCACAAAGCCTGGTGTGGGCCATGATCTCAAGATGTGGGGCTGATTTGGGCCAGGCTTTGGCTTTTCTGTTTCAGATGAGAGATGAAGGCGCGCTCTGAATTTCCTCCCTCACTTCGCTGCAGGTAATGCAGTGCAGCTTGGCCCCATCCCTCTCAGAGGCTTGGTGTCTTGGCAAGCTCCTGCTGAGGACATGGGGCTGCAGCATCTCTACCAAACGTCTTCTTCTCATTTATGCCTGGGGCAATGCAGTGAGCCGTCTGCTTTGTCCTGGGCTGGATAGAGAGAGCAGGGATGAGATGCTCCTTTGTGCTGCATGGTTTGGGAGGAGATCCCACAAAACCTGGAGCAATTCCTTGGGATTTCTCTCTGATTCCCCTCTGGGGAGGGCTGGATGGGGCGCAGTGATTCCCCAGCCCTGATGCTCCTGTCCCAGAGCCAGCTCTGTCATTTCCTGCTTGCCAGCAGCCCGTCTGCTTTGAGTCATTTGAAATGCTGTGGATTAGGGGGAACACCCCTCTCCTCCCTCCGTGCGTTATCCCACAGCCACAGCTCTGACAGCCTCCATTGTCATTCATGGAAACAGGCTGCACTCCATCTCTTTATTCAGAGGAAATAACTTTTTTTCCCTGCTTGAAGCTTTTGCTCACTGCTGTCAGCGCCGGGTTTGCCCCGTCCTGCCTGCCATCCTCATCCAGACTGCACAGTTTTTCAGGGGTGATAAATCATTTCCTCTAACCTCTGGCTCTGTTTATTACTGTTATTGTCATTATTATTGCTGAGATTTTCTAAGCTCCATTTACAACATGTCAAAATCTCTCCCAGAGCTAAGCGCAGTGTTTTGGGTGTGGCCACATTTAAAGTTGCTCATCAAAGAGTTTTGGCTTGAGGGCTTCTCCTCTACCTTTGATTGGGACACAACTGCAAAGAAGAGATAATTCTTACATCATTGCACACGCACCATGAATCCAGCCAAAACCAGGCTGCGAAGCCGCAGTCTCCCTGCAGTGCACCAGCTGCTGCTCGTTAGGTGTGTTGAGCTCAGCGCCGCGAGACAAATTGCTGTTGGCCAAAATTAGCACCCAAACCAAAATGGGAGACGTGGAGATAAAAAGAGAGGCTGAACATCCACAGCGAGGGATGCTCTCGCCTCTCCGGCTGCTCTGGTGGAAGCAGAGCTCTGCCAAACCCTGCAGCTCCTGCCCATCTCTGTGAGCTGCAGCAACACGCCCTGGAGAGAGGCCAAATAATTTTCATACCTGGGTCCCCTTTATCTCCATAAACAGGCACAGAGCAAAGAGTCAAGGTTGGGAAGCAGAAGTCTGCTGGAGTTCACGCAATGGCCAGGAGCTTTTTGGCACACAGGGGATGGTGGTGCTCTCGTGCCAAGGCAGCACTGCTGGCTGTTTGGGTGCCAGAAAAATAATCCTATTTATGTAACTCGGAGTGAAGCATTCCAGTGTGCAAGTATTCAGCTCTGACTGCAGATTGGAAGCTCTTTTACCTGCAGGATTTAACTGCCAGATAGTCTGAGGTCTTACCCTGCAGCCATTGATGCTTTTCTTTTTTTATTGGCAGAAGGTTTTATTGTTTTTGCGGTGAGCACCATTTGCATGTGAACCCCCCACCCTGGACTGGGATGGAAGGGGCTGTGATTTGCTGGCACTGATGTTTTGTGTTTCCTTTGTCTTTCCAGGCAGTGGACCCATCCAACTGTGGCAATTCCTGCTGGAGCTGCTCACTGACAAATCCTGTCAGTCCTTCATCAGCTGGACGGGCGATGGCTGGGAGTTCAAACTTTCTGATCCAGATGAGGTAAAGTACCACAGCCCAAATGCTGCTGAAATATTTAAGATAACTCGCATCTTTGTCCTTTGTCACAGAATAACTATGGTTGGGAAAGACCTCTTCGATCCCAATCCATCCCAGCCCACCCCACCGTGCCCACTGACCATCTCCCCACATGCCACATCCCCATGGTTCTGGTGTAGCCCTCCCACACCCTGGGCAGCTGTGCCAGTGCAGCACTGCTCTTTTGGAGAATAAATTGTTCCTAATATACAACCTGAAACTCCCCTGGTACAACTTGAGGGCTTTCGTGGTTGAGATTAGGACAGGCCTGTTGTTCTGGTCTTCTGTAGGGGAATGCAGTGAATTGAAGCCCAGCTAAAGACTTGTTAAAAATTGGGCTGAAGTTGTGTAGGAAGCAATAACCCATGCTCAGAGTTAGTGAGAAGCTGAAACACTGTAGAGAAAGGCACAGTGACAGATGTGTGCAGCTGACAGTTGAGGCTTCCCACTGATTATCACAGAGCCATAGCATCGTAAAAAACTGGGATAGACCACTGAGACCTTGTAGTCCAACTGTTGAGCTTTCATCGCCACGATCATTAAACCTTGTCCCATTCCCCATATATAGGGTATCCGTTACCTTACCTGACTTCTGTGTCCTCATGGAGTCCTTCTCTGTGCTCTGCTGTTGAACACTTCGGTTTTCCCAAGCTTTAATGGTTTTCGTGTGTCCAAGGGCTGCCCATTCAAGCCAGAAAGCCTTCTCTCATCCCCATGTCGTGCATCCCCTCTGATTCTCCTTACCCCTCTCCTAGGTGGCCAGGCGGTGGGGCAAGAGGAAAAACAAGCCCAAGATGAACTATGAGAAGCTGAGCCGTGGTCTGCGTTACTATTATGACAAGAACATCATCCACAAGACGGCCGGCAAGCGCTACGTCTACCGCTTCGTCTGCGACCTGCAGAGCCTGCTGGGCTACACGCCGGAGGAGCTGCACGCGATGCTGGACGTCAAGCCGGATGCTGACGAGTGAATTCTGAAGAGCTTATGGGACTTCATCTTTTTTTTTTTTTTTTTTTTTTTTTTTTTTTTTTTTGCTTTTTTTCGTTATTTTTTTTTTGTCAGAGAGCAACTCAGATTTGATGCTTGGAGGATGTTGGGAGAGAGGGTGGCGGGTGAGTCGAACTTCTGGTTGGAATAACCTTAAAAGTTTGGTTCGGAGAAGGATGAGCCTTTGTTTGCTGAGAGCTCCAGGACAGGCTTCTTTGGGTAAGATTCTGAGTTTTAAGAAAGCCAGAACGATGTAGCTCACTTTAAAAAGGAAAAAAGAAAAAAAAGAAAAAAAGAAAAAAAGCAAACAGAAAAACCTCCCCATCCCTCGCTGGTTAGAAAAAATATTAACAAACCCTTTTGGCTTTTGTGCTGTTGGCACAACAAACTGACAGTTGAGGAAATGACAGTATTCCTAAGGATTTGAGGGCTTAAAACTTGCTTTTTTTTTTTTTGGGGGGGGGGGGAGGGGGGAGAGGGGGGAGGGAAAACGAAAGTGGGGGAAACTTCCTGCTTTGGGGAGGGGCAATATAGGAAAAAACCCAAGAACTGTTGTTGTTCTTGTTGCATTGCCTTTCTGTCGATTGTCTTCTTTTATACAAAGGACAGATTTTTTTTCTAGGAGGGGTCACGACTCTTTTTTTAAAAAAAAAAATCAACAAAAAAAATTGTTAAAATTTTATTTTATTAAATTTTGTGCCAGTATTTTTATTTTTTTTTTTAAATAGTCTTAAGCTCTAAGATGGTCTCAGTATTGCAATATTGTGTGTGTTTGTTTCTGTTATGCCAGCAGAGTTTTATCACAGTGAGGAAAAAGAGAAAATGGTTTCTGTAGACCCCACAGGAGAAGGGCAGCGCTGCAGTCAGTGCTTTTTGGGTGGGATGTGATGGAGCCCCAGCTCTGCTGCTGCTGGCCGGGGGTCTCTGCTCCCATCCTGCAGCCCTCGCGCTCTGCTCTGCTCTGCTGTGTGCTGCTAAAGCTGGGTGAGATTTCCAACAGCACCTTTTTGTCGTTGCTGTTCAAAATAAGTCTCTCTCTTCCATCTGCTCCTTGTGCATGCAGTGACTTTCCAAAGCTTACCGAGGTTTTTGCAGTGAAAATGGCTTTTGTGTTTTTCCAATGGAGTTTTTGCTCCAAGCTGAATGTGGCTCTGGGCAGCCTGGTCCGGTGGTTGGTGACCCTGCACATAGCAGGGGGGCTGAAACTAGATGATCATTGTGGTCCTTTTCACCCAGGCCATTCTGTGGTTCTATGAGGAACACTTGGGTGCCTTCAGGAATTTTCTCATTTTTTGGAGAGGAGTGGGGAGAAATCCCTGGATGTAAATGAAAATTGCAGAAGTCGGTGAGGGGAAAAAATCAGGAAAACATTGGAAAACCAAAAGGAAACGTTTCTTCCTTCCTGTTTTGAGCAGCTCCGTCTTTATTGCTGTATGTCTTAACCAGCATGGGCACCAGCAGAAAGGAAATTGGCCTTTGCAAATGGGATCTTTACTGCCCTTTGTGAGCCTGATCCGCAAACCGTGTCAGGGTGTGATGAACATGAAGCCCATGACTGTTGGTGGTGGGGTTGGTGACACATCTCGTGCTTGCCTGAATGCAGGAGAGCAGCACAATCAGTTCTGAGGCGCTGCTCCTGTGTGCTGATTTTTTTCTACCCCATTTACCTGCACTGGAGTGAGTCTCACTCTGCTGGGCAAAGACCCCGCAGGGCTGTGCTCAGTGTGGCACTGCAGACTCAGTGGTAAAAATTAACAGTCCTGGAGGTGACCCCAGGGCACAACCCGTGCAGGTCTGGCTGTGGGATTGGGGTGTTTGCCCCAAAGAGCTGTTGGGCATTTTATTTTTAAAGACAGTATTATGCATTTGAACCAAAAGTAGCTTTTTTTGTGTGTTATTCGTCCATCTGAGTGTCTTGTGCAGCTGCATCCACCCAGAGGCACTGCTAGGAGGAAGAGGAGGGTGGCTTTCGGGAGAGCTGGTAGAGGGGGTGCAGATGGAGGTGTAGGTAAGGGAGGATGTTGGGTACGCTCACAGCGTTGGGGCTACATGTTGTCCCACTGAGCATGTGCAAAAAAGTAGTGGGACAGATGGAAAGGAAGGAAAATAGGATGCAAGGACAGTGAAAGGTGCATGCACCAAAGGAGGGGTGGCCCACTCCTTCACTAACTGCCTGCTGGGAGGTGAAAGGCAGGTGGGGAAAGCAGCTCTGAGCTGGAGGGGAGGGAGGACAACGTGGGCACTGGGGAGCCTGGGTGAGAACAGGCACCACAGCTTTACCCAGCAGGGACTGGCTCACCGAGGGGCAGAGCCAAGGGTTGCTGCAGCTGCTGGGCAAAGGGGCAAAGAAATGGCACAGAAACAGGTGGCAGTGGATTAGTGAAAGGGCATCCCAGCAGGACATGGTAGCTTTGTAGGGTTTTCAGCACTCGGTAGGATTTTCTTAGGCTTTTGGTGTTGCTCTCTTGCATGCAACTGCAAAGCGTGCTTTGCTTACAGAATCCCCCTTCCAGCCCCACGTGCTGCTACATGGCTGAGCTCCTGCCTGTGGCATCACACCATGCCTTAAGAAATGCCTCCTGCTTGGCCCTGCTGCAGCTGAAGTGCCTTTTTCAAGCAGAAAACAGGGATAACATTTCACTCTGATGGAAGGAGTCAGAGTTTTGGGTACCAACTCCATCATTCCACCAGGCCAAATCCCTCATCTCCCAGTTTGCTGTTTTCTTCAACTCTTTATTCCCATTCTAGAGACCATCCCAGAGAGGGCTGTGTGCTGTTTATACACTGGAAATGTGAGGATTTGTTTTTGTTTCTTTTTCTTTTTCGTCCCACTTTTGTAATTGCGCATTGACTTTCGGAGAGGGAGGTGTGACCTCCTGTTCTTCAAGGCCATGAAAGTTTGGTGAACTCACACACAAGCTGAACCAGCAGGATGTGTTTGAGAGGGAGCTGCCAGGGATGGGACTCGCTCCTCTGCTGGCTGCTCTGCATGGCAGTGAGCTCCAGCCTTGGCAGATCCAGGTGGCACTCAGGAATTGTGTTTGGGTTTGTCTTGTTCTGGAAGATTTCCAGTGATTTGGAGTGTTTTCTTTGTCCTGCTTCTGATCTGCTGTTTTTTGGTGTCTGACCAACTGGGGCACATCCCCTTCACCCGCTGCGTCCCTTTTGTCCCCTTTGTCCCCCAGCCAGGGGAGTGCAGCTCTCTGCACTGCTGTGACTTTCCTTTCCCAAAGGTTTTTTAAGGTGCGTTTCCCAAAGAAAGAGTCATTTCAAAGATCAGGGGAAAGAGGCCCCAGTAAGAGATATAAAATGCTGGAAAAAAAAGCAAGCAGGTCTGCCTAGATCTATCCTCCATCTCTGTGTATGATGACTGTAACCAGTGCAGAGCCGTGTGTGTGCAAGTGCAGATCCATTTATTTACGCACTACCACCATCCAGCTCCAGGCATGGTCACACATGAAGTCACTTCGGAGAAGCGATAGAATCATTAAGATCCAAAAAGACCACGAGGTCACCATGTCCAACCCCAACCATCCTCACCATGCCCACCAAACCAGAGAGTGGTTAGGTGAGAATCAGCAAATATCACACAGTTTCACCTCTTCCCCTATTCCCAAACCAACTCCGGATCCGCAAAGCAATTCTGGTTAGCACCAAACAATGCAGAGGCTGCAGGAAGCATCTCCACTTTCTGCCTCGTTGTCTTCTGGAGGGCTTTTCTGCACAGCTTTGGGGCCTGGCTGCCACGTTGCTGTGAGCATCACAAGCGTTGGGTTCCTCAGTGCGCTCTGCTCCCTGGTGGGGTCTTTCCAACATCCGTGAGCTGTTGTCTACATTCCAAAGAGGTCTAAATAAATGATAAATCTATGTATGCATATATGTTATAATGGAATATCTCCAGGAATTAACTGCCTCAGTATAAAAAAAAAAAAAAAAAAAAAAAGTGGGGGTTTTTTGTTGTTACATTTTGTTTTTACAGATGGGAATTTTTTTTTTTAAGCTGATAAAGATAGGAGAAGAGAAAAAAAAAAAAAAGAAAGAGAGAGAGATTGTTATATTGTGCTGTTCGACTATTTTCCAACGTGTATTTTCATATAATTTATATTTTTTAAAAGTGGGAAAAAAAAAAACAAAACTTTAAAAGCAAGATTTTAAAAAAAAAGAACAAAAAAAAAACAAACAAGGAAAAAGCAGGTGCTTTTTAAAAACTGAGCTGAGGTAGCGTAGAGATGTAGCGATGTGTGTGTGTGTCCGTGTGTTGTGTTGTCGTTTTCTTTAAAGGATACAAAAAATGCCCCTCCTCCATTGAATACTTAAAGAAGGAAGGGGTTGGTTTTGTTTTAATTGCTGATGCTGGCACATCATTTTGCTGGAGAGTTTTTTATATACTGTAGCCTTATTTCATATTGTATTTTAAACCATGTGAAATTAAAAGAAGAATAATTCATAGCGCTCAGTCCCAGTGTGCTGCTTTGTGAATTTGCTCTTACGTTGCCTTCGCTTTTCAAGGCCAGGTGAAAACGGGAGCAGTGCAAAAGCCCGGGGATGATGCAAACATTCCCTCCTGCTGTAGGATGGGACACGTGGGGTTGACTTTCTTCTCCTCACAGATGCTCAGCACTGTTGGCCAATGGGCAAATTTGCCACTAAATCTTGAAAAATTGTGCATTTGTTCACATGATGGCTTTTTCCCAATGAGGTTTTGCTGTGGGCTCTGGCTCAGGATCTCACTGTCCTCAGGAAAGCAGTGCAGTCGGTTTGGGACTGGTGTAGAGGGTTGAAGATGCTCATTAACAGGGCTGGGGAACTGGAGGGGCTTTTCACACCAGCAGATGCTGCTTATCCATAGGGCTGAGATCATGTGATGTGGAGTTCCCCAAGGACAGCGCTGTGGCACGAGTTCAGGCAAATGAGCATCGAAGTGGATTGATTAGACACTGCGTCCACAAATGCAGGCATCAGATGGGCTGAGCACCAAGAGGAGCTGACAAGTCATCGGTGTGCATTGCATCAGGATGCAAGCGAACAAATCCAGGAGGAGGAATATTGATAACAGCTCCATTTATAGCCTTGGCTTGCAGGCGTGCAAGAAGTCTGGGGAAGGGCTGAAGGACGGATGGGTGAGAACTGCCACTCACTGACCCAGCAAGCTTGTCCCCCCTATGGTGTGCACAGCCTGGGGACCACACTTCAGCGCTTGCACTATAAATACCCACTGGTGGCTGCTGGGGAAGCCCCTGTGCACCTGGGCTGCTCACTATGGAAACTGCAGAGGGCAATATATGTCCCCAGCTCCCCCAGCAGCACTGGGGCTGGCAGATGGAGCAACACTTCAACTCTGTTCTTCATCAGCGCTCAGATGCAGGGTTTGGCTGGAGCTGCATCCAGCAGCACTGTGGATGGATGGGATGGAGGCAGCTTTGCACTCAAAAGCAAACACAAAGCACTGAGAATGCTGCTTGAAATAGAGGCCAAATAGCAAAGCGGCCTGGTTTGGGTGTCTGACTTGAAATGAGACATCTGAAATGGGTGCTTGAGGGAAAGAAGAGAGACTGAAAGAGGAACCGAAATCAGCGAGGACTGAACAAAGGGAAGGGCTCTCTAGAAATCTCTGAGCTAGGAAAACAGAGATGTAAGGAGGTGATGGAAGGGGAGAATATAGAGAATGTCATGGAGAAGGATGGGAGCAAGGGCAGAGCTGGAGCCCGAAAGTCACGCTGCGATGCTCAGCCAAGCCCTCAGTGCCCGCTGGGGACAGCAAGGGACGCACCCAGAATATCAGGGGATTTATGGCCAGTTCACAGCATTTGGACCTCAGTCCTCCCTCTGCCCAAGCATTGCTGCAGGTGGTGCTGGAGGTGCCAGGGCCGCCCCTGCAGTCAGCACTTTCCGCTGTTTGCTTTCCGCGCCCGGCTCCCTCCCACTGCGCAGAGGCCTCTGAACGCCGTCCAACAGCAACTTTCCGGCTCCTCCGGCGGCCTTTCCCCTGCGCTGCCATTCCCTGGCCCTGCATGAAAGCCGGCCCCACAATGAGCCATTGTGCCTGGAGGGAGGCAGCAGCTGGAGGGGCCGCACACCCACCAGCACCAGACACCTTCCTGGGGTTCTGGGGGATGCCCTGCACCGGGGATGCTCCCCAAATTCTGCATCTGTGTCGTGGGAATGCTTGCTGAGCTCAGAGCATCCTTTTGGGGATGGGAGGGAGCAGGATGTTCACCACTGTGCCCATGGTCGTGCTGACTTGGATTTATTTCATGGAGTGATGCTGGGATGCCCTAATCCATCTCATGCTTGAATCATCCCCAGTGGGAACAGGCACTCCCAGCACAGCCCTGTTCCTCAGCTGCCGTCTTATTCCTTTCTCCCTTCCATCCTCTTCTCTTTCACCCCTCCTGGCATCCCAATGATGCTGCAGCTCCAGCCCCATCACGGGAATTCTGCCAACTGTTTCCAGTTTCCATCACTGGCATTTACCAGCTGGAAAGCACCTGGTGCAGCCAGCACCATGCAGACCACCAGCAGTCCCAGGGCTGTGAGCACAAACCCAAGCAGCCCCAGAGGTTGTGGAGCTGGGAGTGGGCTCCTTTGGGGAACAGTATCACTTCAAGGTAGGCATGCCAAGAAATGCAAAGAAATATAAAAATCCCCACAATGAGCAATTTTTTTTTTGTTGTTTTTATTTTCTTTGAGGTTTCTGTGTTTTTCTCCATCCCAGCTGCTCCTGTAGGAGTCTCTGTGCGGGTGTTGGCATCACCAACCCTGTTGAGCTTTGCTAAGCGCGCTGCAGGTCTCAGAGGCTAGGAAGGGCCTTTTGCCTTCCCCTCACCATCAGAAACCCCATTTTCAGAGCCTGGTGCAGGTGATCTGTATATGTATTTTTTTGCTATTCCCATGTTTATGGTCACAGTGTTCCTTGTGTGAGGTCCAAGTGGTTTCATGTCACATCCAAACCCCACTGATGAAAGTAGGCACTGAGTGCCAGCAAAGGGGAGAGGAGAAAGGCAGAGGGGATGCAGCATAAATCCAAAAAGGGATGTGAGGGGCTGCCACACCACTTGGGGGCTTTTTTGTGTGTGTGTGTGTGTGTCTGTGTGTGGCTTTTTGAGCTTCTTTTCAGCTGAAGGTTTTGCTGGGCTGGAAACTTAACCTGGTGCCAATGGGACACTCATAGACCCCAGTACTGCAGCATTGCAGCACGAACAAGAGGCATTTTGCACCTTTTCCCTTCTGTGGGCTGCACAAAGCGAGCACTGAGCTGTCCTTGCCCACGCACCCAGAGCAGCAGCAGCAGCCATGCAATGTGAGGCTGGAGCAACGCAGCTGCCATTGCAGTTGGTGGTGTTTCATCAGGAACCTCAGGACTGACAGGGCTGTGCCAACTGCCTGATCACCCACAAAAAGGAAAAACAAAAAAGGAGGCAAACTCAGCAACTCAGCAAGAAGCCATTTGTGTGCCTTCTCCAGGGGCCGCATGGGAAGAGTCACCCGTGTTGGCAGCAAGCAATGTGATTCCATAGGAGCATTCCTAGCTGCAGCCTGGGGATCTGTGCAGTCCTTCTCTGTTAAAATTAGCAACAAGGAATGTGCAATTCCTACCGGGATAGCTTATGGAAACGATAAACAGAAACAGGACAAATAAAGTTTTATGGCTGGATTTAGAAATCTCGGCAGCTGGAGGACTTGGTTCCCCCACCATCAGCAATGGGCTTTGGGGGGGGGGGGGGGGGGGAAGCAGAGAGTGGGCTGCTTTCAGGAGTTGCGCATTTTAGCTAAATTAGTTTAATAAACAATTTGCTTTATGATTCAAACTCACTCAACCACACAGGCAAAGCCGATACAAATCAGTCGTAAGCTGGTATGCATGCGCCGGATGGGTTTGCATGGGACTGCAAGCCAGAGCTCGCTGCTCGTGTGCACGCATGGACATGGCCCTCAGCAGATAAGGGCTGGATGAGATCAGTAGAGTGGGTAGGAGAAAGATCTGATACGTTTAGCCCCAAATATTGTCCTGATGGTGACCAGCAGGAGGTGGAACGGGAGAAGCAGCAGCACAGGGTGATTGATGGCTTTCCAGCCCTGTGCTGCTGAGGATCCACATCCATTTCTCTTTGCTCCCAGGTGGACTTCCAGACACGCTGACAGTTTTCTCAGTCATTCTAAGCCACAGACATCTTCGTTTTGAGTTGCCCTAACGACAGAAATAAACACAGAACTTTCTGGTAGTGGATAAAAATGACTTGTGGTTTTTGACCAACCAACTTCTGTGCACTCAACTTCCAGATGCTTCTGAGAGTACAGCCTTTGAAGAATGCTGGTGATATCATATGGGAAAAGCAGGGCTGCTTAAAGCCACTCCAAGTGGGATCCTAAAACTGAGGACGTGCTGGTGGAGCTGTGTGAAAGAGTTTAGGGTTAGTGATATGCATGAAGATGGAATGCAAAAAAATGCTGGTGGCGTTCTGTTTGCACTTCTTATGAGCCATGAAGATGGTCTGCAAGTGTTAGCTTGTTCAGAAAGCACCCAGTAGATGTGGTTCATGTCCTGGTAGGTATGAAAGTGCTGACAGGTCTGGTCTTGCCTTCCCTGTTTTCCCCCAAAATGCTGAGACTCACTGGAGTACCCCAACTCAGCTGTTCCTTTACTTTCAGTCTCATGCTCAGATGGCACACAGAGATCCAAACCACTCATCTCTCCACTTCTGCTGGTCAAACACATTCTGCATGAGGTCCATCTCATCCAAATGCAGCACGGTCCCCATCTCATCCTTGAAGTCTCAGCACAGGGCCATGATGGATGACAAAAGCAAAAACTCAGTCTTGGGGTGCATCTGTGTGTGACGTGGTGTCCTCCAGTGGATGAGATCCACCAGCAAATGTGGTTTGGGGAACATCCCTTGAAAACCACTGAGAGAGGCTAACGGATTCCCTTTGGGAAAAGCAAAGCCTATAGCAGAAAAGCTGGTGGTAAATGAATGGAAGTCCAGTGAAGGAACTCAGGACTGTGAAGATTCAGTCCGTTAGTAGGGCTGCATAACCTAAACCAGATTTCTGTAGGAAATAACTCCAGGACACCGCAAACTATGCACTGCTGCTGCTTGGATAAGTCCATACTCTATCATCCCAGTCTATTTTTTC